GGAAAAAACTACATTGCCGTTGGCGATGCTTTTCTGGGAAATTGGTCTCGACATGCCACAGCTTGCACACGTTGCATTGCCACGGGGTTCCAGCATCTGCATAATGTTTTGTGCATTCGCGACACACCCGGTCCGTGTCGCTGCGCTTCCATTGGCCAGATGTGAACGCTGTGCTTTGTTTTCGTTCTGCGCAAGTTGAACACACGCGTTCTTCGCAATATTTTGCGAGCAACGCCTGCCAGTTGATGGCGTCGCCGCGGAGGTGTCGCAGAAGAAGGTCCCGGCCCAAACCGATTCCCTTTTGGAATGGCGCGGCGTCGAAAGGGCGGAAGATCAGCAGCTTCCCACGGCCTTGGACGCGGGTGATTGCAACGTAAACCGTGAATGGGTTGCCCATTGGGCCGATACAAAGATCGGTCATCACGCCTTCTTTGATGGTTTGCCCTTGCGCTACATGCGCTGTGATGGCAAATCGGGGCGCAAGTGGAAATTGCGTGCGCGACACACGTAGCTTGGGGCTCTTGCGTTGCCGGTCCAAGTACCACACGCGTCTGCAGGGTCCGACAGGGAACACGTTGCTATCTGGCATACCTGGTATCTGCCACGATGTCGCGGTGTCAAACTTCACATACACCACCGCTGGCAATGCGTTGCACACAACTCCTTCAGGTGCAGGCGTCTCATTGGCAATCTCGGACCAACCCACGACGAGGCCTTTGGTGCCCTTGAGAATGCCGCGCTTCCGGTCCAAGTGGTCTGTTGCACGGACAGGCATGCCGACGCACAACGGCAACACGCCGTATAGCCCACCGCATTCTTTGTCGTGTCGCTGCAGCCATTGCAATTTCTCCGCTGTCAAATTCGGCTTCTCCTGCACGACCACGGATGATGCAACATCTTGCGCGACAAACAAGTATGCTTGCTTTTGTCTGGCATTTGCCCACTGTATGGCGCGAAGCTTGTTGACATGATATTTGATGTCGTTGGTGCCGAAAATTGCAACTGCATCAGCAAATTCGTTCTGAAACCGGGGGTCCGCATCCCCTTGCGCCACAAGTATGCGAGAACGCCGATCAGCGGCGCAGTAGCTGCATTCGGCTTCTTGTATGGCTTCTGGACGTAAACCTAGTGTGGGCAATGCGGCGCAACCTGGTTGTTCGCACGTTGCATGCCCAGCAATCCAGCTGCCTGGCACCGTAGTTGGTTTCCCATGAAGAAACTTGTGGTTATCGTCTGATAGCTGCCCATGACGAAGTTCTCCTTGGAGCTCAGCCAGCCAAGCGTCTTGCGTGCGCTCGCAGCGCACCAGTTCTGTCATCCCTTGCATCCCTGCTGCGGCCTGAGAAGCGTTTGACCTTGATGTCCCGGGGCCTGTCTCGTGCTCTTGCGTCCGGCAAGCAAATCCCATGGGATGTCCCCTAGGAATGTTCCTTTTGGGTGTGGTAGTTGGTAGACATCTCCGGCCAAAATCACGTTCAACCCGCCGAACGGTCGGATTTTCCCGTTGCCGTCATACTTAGCTAGGCTGAGGTCCCGCATGAGCTCGCGGCACCGAAGTTCAAGCTGCGCTAGCAACTCAGCGCTCACCATGCTAAACTCATCCAAAATCAACCATCGCCATTGCAAGCTGCGACCTGCACATTCCATGGCGCGTGCCAAACTCTGAGTTCTGTCGCCTGACCAGTCCAATCCCAGCGCATGATGTATTGTGTCGCCTTCCAGCAGTTCAGCCATAACAGCTTGAAAACTGACGATCTGGAAGTCAACGCCGTGGTGCCAGCCGAGCACGTCTTCGAATAAATCCTGCCGCAGAAACTTTAATGTGTGAGATTTTCCTGTTCCAGGACCACCATGTAAGACCCAGCGAAGCGGTTCTGACGCCACATGGCCACACCCTGCGGTGGAGGTGCTGGCCGCCAGTTCTGTTTCCACGCGTGCCGCGACCAGCTCGCAGAAGGCTCGCTGCTCCGCGTTGCATGGTGCATGCGGCAAAGCAGCGGCCCACGTTCGCACCTCCGCAACAGATGCCCGACAGGGGCGCGCTGCCACGCAACTGGGTACGGGTGAAGCAACTGCTCGTGCGTCGACTCGTTTCCGGGCAGCTTGTTGCATTGCCTTCGGATCCAAGGCACAGTACCGTGTGCTTGCTTCAGGGCGTCTGTGAGGCAGCGCAGGTGCCTGCCAAAGTCCATCTGCTGTGTTCATTGCTGATTCGATGCGGTTTGCCCGGTCGTCGTTTGCGGCTTTGCAGCTGCTCGCTTTCTGAGCCGGGAATTGCGTGCGGAGCGCCGCCGCGACATCGGCCGGACGCAGTGTAAACGGTTCGTCCACACCATCGTCGTCGCTGTTGACGTCTGCTTCCGCGCTGGGTCGAACACGATACACAGACAAGAAGTTGCCGACGTGGCGCTTTGTTTCGGCGCAGGGCAACCGAAGCAGCCACTCTCGCAGAGCATCTTCCCAAGTCTCATGCGGTCCCAACAACTGACTTAAGTGCGGGACTTGTGATGTTGCCCGCGTCATGTCTAAGGTCCATGCGCGAAAATAAACGCACGTCAATCGGGCGTTCCGATCCGCCTTTTCGGTCCAGCGCTGTGGCACCGGGGCATTCGCGAAATGAGGACACCGTGGGCGCACGCGGCGC